CCCCAAAACCCCAAAACCCCAAAACCCCAAAACCCCTCTTATGCTAATAATAATTGAAGAAGTCAAAAGACATGGATATAAAAACAACTAAAGCAATCAATAATGCTTTTAAACACAAACAAAAGTATGTTCTAAAGCAAGACATCTTGTTTCATGGCATAATGGGACAGTTTGCTGATTGATTCGTACGATAAACCCAGTTCCTTGACTATTTATTAAGATAGTGATTTTACCCTACAGTCAGGCCATATTGTGAACTAAGCCAGACTTTCTAATATTTCCTTCATAAAATTTTGATTATTGTTAATAATACTTTGTATAGGAGCACTCTAAGAAATGAGCCAACAAGGAAGACTCAAAGAAAGGAAATAAAAAGGCATCTTATTAGCACTGATATAAAGCATAAAATATCAAAACCTAATATAAACGTAACAGTCAAACTGGATGACTCTTGCGATAGCTTTGAACGTGACAGCACAAAAGTCACCGAACTCGAAGCTGACATGTACTCCTCTGGTAAGAGTCAGAGGATCCAAAGGAACAAATCCAAACAGATCCAGGAAGGCATAAAAACCGCTACAATATCTCTGAGAGATAAAATGGAAGGTTTTGATAACTCTGTAAAAAGAGATAAGAAGGAGAGAAAGCTTCGTGACCATTTTTACTCCTCAAGGAAAGATTATAAGAATCTGTCCTCCATTCTGAGACAGATCAAGGAGACTCCTAAGCACATGGTAGATTATAAGCACAGCTTAGAGCAGACTATGTTTAAGAAGAAGCTAGGACTTGAGAGGATAGACAAGTTCCAGTCTACGCTTCTTCAAGCAAGCGTTGACCAGAAAGGAACTACCTTACCAAAATTAAGAGAGAAATCTTTTGGAGACACACCCTCTTCAGAAAACAGGATCTCTTACCAATCTGATAAAGGAGTCAAAGAAAAATTAGGAAGAAGTCAGAAAGCATCAACATTGAATGCAGATATACTTCAAAATATGCAGAAGAAGAACCGGACTAAATTTAGTGATTTAAAACAAGATGGTATTAAAGGTAGGCTTAGCTTTATAATATTTAGATAAAAATTCTCAAAGCTTCCGTCATGCTAAAAGTACTACAACTCGAACATTGAATAAAAAGATGAGAAAGAGGTACAAACTGAAACCATTGGATACATCTGTTCAAGTTTCAGAAGTTGGGATACAAAAATCTCCCCTTCAAGCTCACTTAAAACAGCTCTCAAGTATTATTGGTGAAGATTACAATACTGATTTTAAAACGCCTTGTGAACCATCAAGCTCTATAACCGCTCGCCCAAGGATGAACTTTGAGAAGCTTAATGACTTATTTAAGAAGAAGTCTGCAGAGGATTCTAGAGCTAGAAGATCCTCAATAAAAAGCGTGAAGCCAGAGAATATTGTGACTCCATCAGGCAGAAATCCAGTAAATATTACAAAAAGTTCGAGTAATATATCCCAGCTTGAAATTTCGGAAGAAAAGGAAGAATTGGATGAAGATAAGATAGATGATATCAACTTCATGAACATCCTCATGTACATCAACGGGGAGGAAAAAGGCATCAACGTGGCGAATGATGCACAATTCCAGGAAATTTGTAATCTCATGGATGAATACTACGGTCTCAGCGAAAGAAAAATCTTAAATAAGTATGAGATTTGGAAGAAATATATCAGAAATCTTCAGATGAAGAAGAACTTTGAAGAACGTTCGAGTCAAGGAGCTGCCCTCAGCTTCAAAGCAGAGGGAAAAGAAAGTAAAAATGAGATGATGAACAGGTACTCTGCTTACCTTAGTAAAAAGTGGTTTTCAAATGCAGATCCGTTCTTAAAAGCGAAGTATAAGAAATTCTTCGAAGAAAGCGAAGTTAAATGGGGACCAAATATGGTATTTAAAAGATTAGCTAAAGAGACAGATAAACTTAATAAGATCAAAGGCCTCGTAGAGAAGAGACTTGATAAGGAAACCCTCTATGTTAATAATAGGATTAAGGTAAATAGCATAAACCAAGAAAGAAAGAATATTTCATCTGAAAAGACTTCTGATGGTGAAGATTTCGAAATTTACATCAACAAGCCTCATAGCGACACATGAAAATACTGAAGACTAAACCAATCCCACACACATCACAAGAAGACAAATTCAGACCTTCCTCTCCCCAAACCCTCCAAAACCCAATCCCAAAATCCTTCAATTCCAACCCCCTCTTCACCCACCTCCTCCCAAGCACCCCCTTCCACCCCTCCTCACCAAAACGAGGGCTTAAAAATGCTCCACCACAAACTCTCCCTCAGATTCTCCACCTAATCCCCCATCCACTACCAGAAGCACCCTTCTGCTTCCCTACTCTAGTACAGTCCATTAAATAATTCAACCAATTTCCCACACAAAGGGGTTTTGGGGTTTTGGGGTTTTGGGGTTTTGGGG